TTGGCTCGACTAGTATTGCTTTGATGCATCGAGAAATTTAATTTTTTTTGATACGTCAAAACCGACTTGTTGAAATGATGTTATTAAATTTATGTGCGGACCAAACGTTGGACGAGTCTTTGTTGTTTTGTTTTACAACGTTTTGGCGTGAATTTGAGCCTATAGCATCTGAAATAAATGTACTATCTGCAAATATTTCCGAGTTAATGTGGCAAAAAATTTATTTATCACATGCCTACAACAGTACGCGCGCTCTGATTAGCTGTTTTCTTGTAATGACCGGGCATTACAAGCTAGGTGTCCACGGCGTATTCAATCTGTGTTTAACTTGATAGTGGACATGCTTATGGACATATTTGTTATGCTCAACTGACAGCTGTCAAAAAGGGCATCCGCTGACCAGTATCACTTGACTGTGTCGCGGGCTCAAGTGTACAAGTCATTGAGTTGACGTGTTTTTTAGAAGTTATTTGCTGGCTAGTTGTCTGTTTTAATTGATCGCAGGCTCAGGTCCATAACGAAAAGGCCATTTTATAAATAACTTCAATTACTCTCACTTACTCTCTTACGTACAATAATGACCTTACACTCGGTTGATAACTAGTATATGTTTTTTTTCGTATTTTAAATTAGTCATTCATCCATTTATTCATTCATTCATTTATTTATCTTTTTCCATTAACTGGGTTAACAGGTCTTGTATCCGTTTCTATCTTTCGGTTTTATAGCTGTTCTGTCTGACTCCATACTCCTCTGAATCTGAAACCTACAAAAAGTATTTGATATTACAGCTTAAGTATTTTCTTTTTTTGGTTGTTTTATTTTGCATTTGTTTGTATTTCATCCTAAAAGGAGTTGATGAGAGCCCCACATTAAAGAAAAATACGTATTTGGCAATAAGACAAACTTCAACTGGAAATTTTACATTAAGGAATATCCTCGCCGCAGACGAGGTAACATCAGCCTCGCGTATAAGTAGTACAACAGGAAGACAAAATAAATCAAAACTGCGGATTGTAGAAGAAAAGAAGGTAAATGTGAAACGGAGACCAAGAACTGTGTTAGTTTTGTCAAAAGATTCGGTAAAGTGGCATTAAAAAGGAAAGGATATCAACAAAGCCGTTGACCCTTCAGTGTACTATAAAAGTCATAATGTCGCTGGAGTTAAAACGAAATAAACGCAATTAATAATTATCGTCAGTTAACTTGTCTTGAAAAAATTTACCTTGCTGTTAAAAATGTGATCGTCATTTAGACTGCGTAGGCCGTTATATAAAAGGCAAACGCCTCCTCCTGGACGACAACGGTTGAATCTGAGGGAAGCGCTTTTGCTGGGCTTACACTGGACCAAATCCATGCATAGAATCTGCACGCAGATCAATAATAGCAAGCAAACACAGGCTCTGGTTGTCATTGTCTTTGATTGATCTCCGTAATACTCTTCGCTAGTGGTTTTGATACCGACCTTTCAGGATATGATTGCTTCAAAAAATGCTGCTTTTATTGTGTAGAGTGAGATTGTTAAGACGCCTTCAAAAACGGAGACGCTGTTAAAATGACATTTCATTCTTCCTAAATGCGGATTGTTTTTAACGTGTTATGACAGTCATAAAGGATTTAGAACACTGTAAGAAGTTCAATAAACGCTTACATCCGCCACAATTTATTATGTCGTCAATTAAGGAATAAACGTCCGTAGTGCCTGGCGTAATTTAACAGTTGAAGTATCAATTAATTAAACATTCAAAATGTGAATCTACACGGCAGAATAAGATGCTAGCGTTAAAAAGTGTGCTTTTAATTAAGTTCCTTTTTGTTTGGCTTATACATAACAGTAAATATTCAATTTAACTTAAGTGAAGTTGGCTGCCACCAAAAATTAATTTTTGGTTATATTGTGCAAAAACCGCCATTGTAGACATCCCCCCTATTTTGCCGTAAGCGGTTAATTCCAGAAACCGATGGAAACTCAGAACAGTATAATAAAAGAGGCCGATCGCTGAATTAAAGAAGTGTAATTTCCTAAAAGAACCTAGTGATTCCTGCCCAAAGTAATGTTCATGCGTTATTCGTTTAAAGATGTAGTTTGCGAATTTGAGCAATCGAAAAATATGGGTCATTTATTTCAGAACTTCAGCGAACGAAGAAAAATGTTCCATTTATATTCCCATAGCATGTACTTGTCGTTAATAATTAGAACAGAAAATGGCATAAAGTGTAAATGCATTTAGCATGCGATGAAAGAGTAAATTGTTTTCCGTACATTGAAGCCTGAGGCAAATATCACTAACACTTGTTTTCCATAGCACGAAATGTTTCTCATATTAAAAGAATGGACGACACGAAGTGTTATTACTAATAACAAGACTTAAACGTTTTTGATAGTTAACTTTAAGATAAATACCACTGAGAAGTAAAAGCTGACTAACTTATTTTGCCATCACTCACTTCCATAACATAAACGAAGAATTAGCTTTGTGACTGCAGGTGTAGGCTTCATTTATTACCAAATATATTACGTATTTAAGGTGGGGGGCTTCACGGTACTTATACAACAAGAATCTTTTAATTGAAACCTTTTTGGTAACATGCCGCCTTATTCCAAGTGCTCTATTTGAAGGTTTATTTTACGATAGGAAGGATAGGGCAGGATATCAATTATTATATGTCTGTCATTAGTCACCTAGCAAGATGCCGACCAACGTCTCTGTAATACTTAATCCCTCCGCCGCTAGAAATAAAAAAAAAAAAAGAAAAAAAGAGGGGGCCGGCGAAGACTTCATTAAACTATTTTTCATTTAAAGCAGCATGCGCAAAATGTTATTGCAGAGTAGTTAGCCCTCACTGAAACGAATTAGAGATATATATATATTTGAAGTCACTGTACAAGTAGTTCCTTTTCTCTCCTTGATGCTTCTAGATAACTGAACTGAATTTATTCACCTAAATGCCAAAAAGAACGTCCCGATTTTTTCAACCTGCTCACGTTGTCAATTAATATACATTTGGGCAAACTATGGTGGAGTTCAATTCGAAAGAACTACCTTCAAGTTTAGACACAATGATAAAAATTAGTTTTCGTACGCGTTTGTCTGCTTTCTCCGTATGACGTAGAATTAGGCATCTTCCCATTGTATTAGTACAATTGCGGTAAATAATTGTACTAAAATGTTCATATGCGTTCGACGTGCAGTCGATAATAGTTTCTTGTTGAACCTGTTGCTTTCATGACGTTCTCGATGCCTTCGCCATCGTGACATCTTTCACTCCCTAACAGTAAATAAAACAACGGTGACTTTGAGCTAATTGGACCCTCCACCTCCCAATTTGTAACTTTTGTGTTGCTGACTAGCATTATTACCACTAGAGGGAGCGAAATACACAAGGACTGCTGCTGGGACGTATTTCGTGGTGTACTTTGTGTGGTGGGTAATCGGAAAAATGCTTTCTTGCTTGACAGAATCAAAATCAGTTATCTAAGGCCCGTTTCAAACGTCGTGCTACTTCCCTTTCCGATCTCAATTGATCGAATTAAATTCGACTTTCGCACGGCAGTAGCGCGACGTTTGAAACCAAGTCGTGCTACTGCCGTGTAGCACGGCAAGCCTTACCGTGCTACACCTTACCGTGCTACACGGTAGTAGCTCGACTTGTTTTCAATCGTCTTGCTACCGCCGTGCCGAACTCAATTCATAAATTATAAATACATTAGAATACATTTGAAAGTTTGCCAAACTGTTTCTTTATTTTTGTGTTTCGTTTTCGGCAACAGCCGTTCTATTCGATTGAATTAAATTTTACTTCTGAAACCAAGTCGTGCTAGTGTCGTGCTGTAGTCGAGCTACAATCGAGCCAGCTTAGCACGGCAGTAGCACGACGTTTGAAACAGGCCTAAGTGTTTCAAATTCTGCTGAGAAACTTCTTATGGGAGTTTAATACCCACAATCAGTCATACAAAAGGAAACAATTTTTTTTTTTTTTGTAAAAAAAAAAGTACAACCGCTTGCCATTTGAAAGACTTTTTAAATGACTAAAAAAAAAAGCAGATTTCGATTCTTCATTCCCCCCGTTCCCCGCCACACACAGTATACGACCAAATAATTCCTAGTCACTCCGTGTCAAGTCCTCTCTCTTACGAGGCCTTCCAAGGGGTAAAAGCGACATGCGACACGGCCCTGAAAACTGGCGACATGGGAATTTTTAAAAAGCGAGAAGTGACATGCCTACGCTGCTAAAATGCGACAGCGACATACTAAACAGTGAAAAACGACGGTGACATTGGAAAGTTGTGCATTTTATCAATGAAAGTGACTCAGAATACAGGAAATTACATTTCTGAGGGTTCAGATTTTCCAAATTTTCCCGCGGGAGCCAACCCTTAAAGAAGAAGAAGAAGCGTTCATCCTTCGCCGCTCACGAAATTTTGCCAACTGACCACCATGAAAATCCTGTTATAGCCCTGTTGCGAAACAGTTTCTCGCAAAACAAAAATGACTGGTACAGTTACGTACACTTCAAAAAACGACAGCGACATTTGCAGCTGTAGATTAGGCGACAACGGTCTCCTAAAGCAAGCGACATTGCGACACAGCTACCCCCCTTGGAAGGCCTCTCTTACTCTAGCAACTCATCAGTTGTACATTCCATTTCAAAAACAATTCCACCTTTTTCTCTTCACCTTCTTCATAAATCCAATCATTCTCACCCACCCCAATCTCCTTACACAACTTTTTTTGCGTAATATCTGTAGGACAACCTGTTTTGTTAAGAAAGAATGTCATGAATGCAATGAAACTATCCAAAATATAATGAAAGTTATATTTCACTCTGTTCATTACGGCTATGGGCCATTTTACATTAACAAGCGAAGGTTTTCTCGACAACAGTGCGTGGTTTTGATAAATTTTTATGTTTTGATTTTTATTTAATTTAATTTGTTTTATTATTATAACTTTAATTCCACTTAAGCTTAAGGTAAAAAACGGAAATCCATGTCCTGGTTATCTTCCCAGAATTTTTTTGTTTTCCTCGTCGATAAGATTCTAGAAATAAAAATATAATAATAATAAACATGAATATTTCAGGATACGCGTGAAAAAACAATCATTAGGGAGTAACACAGAATGTTTTACGTATACTCTACTTATACTCGCGTTCAGCCTTCCACTCCCGATAGTGCACAAGATGCGATTATACGCTCAATGTTTAATCAATTTGTCTTAGTTTTTTTTTTTTTTGGCAACACTGAAATATCCGGCTTCATTAGACACCCTGATCCTGAAGCTGGCGTGGGACTTCAAAGGCCTCCCACCCTCTCTCTAACTTTAAGCACTCATGATACGGCCACCAAGTTGAAACAGAAAGAAGATACTCCTGTACTCATCAATTTATCATCAAAATACAAATTAATTCACTTGAGGCGACAACGTGTCGTCACTTGGCTTTATCTTGTTGAACTTTGCTATCCTTCCCCTAAAAATATAGATATGAACGTGTTTGACAAGATTGTAAAGTTGACAACACACTGAGAATCTTCATCAATAGCAGTGGCGTCAAGGTGACGTCATTAAGATAGGAAGAGGGAACTGTTTAATTCCACCATCTTGAATCTGTAATTTGAATTAATTAATCTTATTTGTGTCACTTAAGGACCATATTAATTGAGGTAATGTTTAAATAAAAGGCAACTTGTCTTTAAAATGCTGTTCTTAAAGTCGCAGAAAAATGAACATTACAGTAAACTCACCGTTAAATGCACGTTGTCATCTGCTGTCAGGCGTCTTTTTGGAACAGGCTGATCCTCTATCTGTCATGAATTTAAGGGGGGAAAAAGAGACGGGACATAAGTGGAAAAAAGATTTAATTAACAAATGGTGAACGGCTCAGCATCTCAATTTGGGTTGTGCTTTTTTGCCTCTTTTTTTTATGTGCAAGGTTTTTAGCTTGTATGTTTTGTGAACAAAATGTGTGTCATGTGACGATACTCCAGGGAACTGTATCTTTTTTCAATTTTTATTCGCATGCATTTGTACGCATAATTTATGAGAGGATTAATGGGTAAATTCCCCTGAGACCTTCACTGGGAAACAAAGCATAGAAGCTAAAGAGGCCTTATCAGAGCGTGCACTTTACTTACATGTTATAAATGTTAATCACATTACTGCTACGTGTAGACGTGGCTAACTAACGATTTTGATGTTGCTTTCTTACTATAAGAGATCTTTATGCTCATTACAATTAGTCCGCATAGGCCGCGGGTGGAGTGGGATAACACCCTTGGAGATCTGCATAATTCCTCATATCAGTCTCAGGCTAATCTTGACCGCTGACACGGTCTGATAGCAAGATCAGTTTTGTCCAGACATAGTTTGCCCACTTCGCTTGTATTTTGTACACCTACCCCTGTAATGATTCCCCTTCGACCAGTATAGCGGCAAACCATGGAGCCCGGCCTACATCTGTCTTTAGAACTTGCCTCCGTCATATTAAACAATAGTAGTACGAAAAATACGGCAACAAAGAAAGAAATGAAGATTCTACGGCTCATTTGGTTCTGTGAAGAGTTTAGAGGTTTAGATCTACGGGTAATAAGGCAGTTACAAGAATTCCCAAATTTATAACCCAGTGTCTTTTGTCTTTTGTTTCTGCTGATTATTAACACTTAACAAAGAGCTTGGGGTAACATCTCTGTTGTGAAGGCAATGGGTGACAGCTTCCTTCTCCGACATAAGAAAAAATTATAATTCTAATAATTGCCATAATAACAGCGGCCGCAGACGAGCTTCTTTTAGGCTAATTAAGAATACCTTTAAAACATATAACTCAACGAAAGGGCAAAACAAGTTTTTGTTGTTATTTAATTAACTGGTAAAAGGTTTTGGCATGATCAGTGTATTCTTTTATAAATTGCTCCCAATTAAATGATACATTTTGTACTAGCACCTAAAGGAACACACCAAATTTGCACCCCTTCTTTATCATAAGAGGAAATAATTCCCTTTTTTGCCAGACAATGTGCTGTGCAACGTCGTTTTGTTACTGTAGGCTGAGCATATACCACTGCTTAAGGCATTCAACGTCATTAGAAAATAGCAGTCTTGATAAGTGCCATTTTGGATTTTAGCTATTTGTCGTGGTTAAGCTACATTTTTAAAGACCATTTTGATATGAATGTTTTGCTGTTTTTTGTGGAATTTTGCTTATGTGAATATTAAGGATGTCACCGGGAGATAAAGACCTTACGTTGTCAGAATTTCTATGTAGCATATGTCCCGTTCCTTCTTAATTTTTTTAGGACAGAAATACATTAATCTAAGGTACTAAAACCCATTAATTTTATCAAAAAGATGCTCAAAACAATCTTCGTCGATCCGCTATAGGCTTTTCTTCCATTGGTTGGTCAGTGATTTGTTGGTCTGAGTTCATGCTCCAGTCGCACTAAAAAAGCGGCTAGAAATGGCCCATCGTAAGAAGGCTACATAGAACAAACGTCACCACCCTCGTCAGCTAAACTAAAGGTCGCATGCATCACAACGAAGAACGACAAACTTAAAATTAAATGTCTTTTCATTCTACCCATGATGCAACTCAACTGAACCAACCCCAGTATAGTGCACTCGTGCTGCAGAAATTTGTTTGTATTGACTCAAACGCCAGAAACCCTACATTCCTGTATCTTTACAAATATAACCTTGCAGCATTGTTCTGTGAAGATAATAATAAGCCCGTATTCATCATATATCATGGCTCTTCTTATGAATTATGACATCACTGACTTCTCTGTAGCCCAGTAAAACACCTCGTTCTGTTTCAATGACATGACCACGTGGACTTCAAATGCAACATAATAGTCTGTACCAGTCAGGGACTGTACTATACAGCAACATGAAAACAATTTTACCGGCAATGAGTAACTTGCGAAAAAGCAATCGTTACTATACATATATGTTATAAACATTTTACGTTACACAAACCTGTCCAGGGACAAAAAGTCGCTTTCCATTTTTGCGCCGATTGCACATCATTAAACCAGGTCGACACGGTTTGGTTTCTACTTGACAGAGCCATGTTAAATGTACCAAAAGTACAACTATGACAAAAAGCCTTATACTACGGTTCATTTTTGGATAGTTAAGTCCTTGTAAATTTAAGCTTGTTAGAGTATAGCAAAGCGATAACGCTTTGACAACGCTTTTTAATGATTCGGCGAAGCTTTAATAGCAAAGATCACTAAAAATGCAGGGATCTGTGAATTGCTTTGGCGGTGCGAGTTATGACAGGTAATCAATAACTAGACCAAGTAAATGCAGAGGTGTTTCAACAAATGCTTTGAAAAATATAATAGCTTTGGGTGGATCAAAATTTCCTTTAATCAAGGACAGCAGATCAAAGAGAAAATAACGAATATTAAAGTAGCAAAGAAAACTTTTAATGCGGCAGCTTGGCCAGAGAAAAAAGTAATAAATCTCATTGTCTTAACGATGATATTGTGAAGTTTGTAGGCCCGAATTTTTTGTTTGCTGTGTGCTTATTAAAAGTAAGTTAATTCTGTTTATTTATTTTCTAACACCTGCCAATTTCTGTACTTTGCCACATCATCGACAGCAGTATAGTAGTGATTTTTACTTGTTTATTATNTATTTCTGTATCTTTACAAATATAACCTTGCAGCTTTGTTCTGTGAAGATAATAATAAGCCCGTATTCATCGTATATCATTGCTCTTCTTATGAATTATGACATCACTGACTTCTCTGTAGCCCAGTAAAACACCTCGTTCTGTTTCAATTACAGGACCACGTGGACTTCAAATGCAACATAATAGTCTGTACCAGTCAGGGACTGTACTATACAGCAACATAAAAACAATTTTACCGGCAATGAGTAACTTGCGAAAAAGCAATCGTTACTATACATATATGTTATAAACATTTTACGTTACACAAACCTGTCCAGGGACAAAAAGTCGCTTTCCATTTTTGCGCCGATTGCACATCATTAAACCAGGTCGACACGGTTTGGTTTCTACTTGACAGAGCCATGTTAAATGTACCAAAAGTACAACTATGACAAAAAGCCTTATACTACAGTTCATTTTTGGATAGTTAAGTCCTTGTAAATTTAAGCTTGTTAGAGTATAGCAAAGCGATAACGCTTTGACAACGCTTTTTAATGATTCGGCGAAGCTTTAATAGCAAAGATCACTAAAAATGCAGGGATCTGTGAATTGCTTTGGCGGTGCGAGTTATGACAGGTAATCAATAACTAGACCAAGTAAATGCAGAGGTGTTTCAACAAATGCTTTGAAAAATATAATAGCTTTGGGTGGATCAAAATTTCCTTTAATCAAGGACAGCAGATCAAAGAGAAAATAACGAATATTAAAGTAGCAAAGAAAACTTTTAATGCGGCAGCTTGGCCAGAGAAAAAAGTAATAAATCTCATTGTCTTAACGATGATATTGTGAAGTTTGTAGGCCCGAATTTTTTGTTTGCTGTGTGCTTATTAAAAGTAAGTTAATTCTGTTTATTTATTTTCTAACACCTGCCAATTTCTGTACTTTGCCACATCATCGACAGCAGTATAGTAGTGATTTTTACTTGTTTATTATGCACTTGAGCTGAGAGCAAGAACTCAATAATGTCTTCCTCCAAGTATCTTGAAGAAGACTTGGTAATAGAACTGTTGGCCTTAGTACAATGTCTCGTATACCTGATGCTTGGAGGGAGCTTTTTAATTATGAAAAATTGAAATTGTAATCGTTTTGATGGCATAAATAGCATTTCAATTACTTTTTTAATCTACTGAAAACTAAACACAACAAGGGCTCATTTACTCAATATTTGAACGAGCAATGGAAATCTTCATGTTTGAAAGGAACCGACCAGAAAAACTTCTGATAGCAATTTCCTAGAACCTTTTTCTTTAACCTGGAGTCGGCACAAGAAATATGTGTTAAGAAATAAATCAGAAAGAAATGTTTGACTGTAAATTTACTTAACGGTTCGTAATATGCTTCATTAATAAGCTTTTCGCTTCTTCCTTGTCTATGATTTCTTTTACTGCGTTTCGATCACAATAGCATCTGTCATCGCGCAATCAATCATTATTAAAAAAAATTAACGTTTTGATCGCCAACCATTATCAGGTTACTTCACCAGGTGCTTGAATAGTTTGATGACTATCGAAATTTAGAACCAAAATTTGGCATTAAAATTTATAGTTATACTTCTTTTTGATTGATCACAATCAAAATTGAAAATTTAAAACTTTGTGACCATTACAAAGCGGTGTTCTGGACCAACAATCACAAATACGTCAGTGAATATCATGACCCATGTATTCCTAAACCATTTATGGTGCATCAATCAAATTGGAGAAATTGTTAGGTTTATTGCTGGAACCTTCTAGCGGTTGCTGCCTCTTTCCTGGGACGGTAACCACATAAACATGAACGGAACTTAAGGGTGTAATTTTCATTTTTTTGGCTAAAATCACTCTATTCATCAACACATTTGTCTGATCCTATGGGGTCTTGCAACAAATATATGTTTCTTCTTAAAAAGAAAATATTTTTCTCCGAAAAGAACAAATTAATTTAAGATAGGAATTATTCTCAAAATTGTCGTTATGGCCGCGAGGGGATAGCTGTTCAAAATCTGCAGACACTGCGGGTTCAGTTGTAACCGCAGCGAATAAACTCGTCTTCAAACCTTGAGCAACGCACAAATGTACCCTGTCACAGTGTTGGATCGACAAATTAAACCACGACAAACTAAAAACGAAATAATGTAAAATAAAATATTAAGTAAAATGGCTTGTATACCGCTAGGAACATCAAGAATTATCTTGGAAAAAAACTAGCTAAGTTGGTCCAGTGACTGTAACTGACGTATTATCTCTTGGAGTGACACCAAGTAAACTCTTTTTTACTTAATTCTACCAAAGGGTTCGGTACTTTGAAAGAAAATAATAAAAATCTCTTTTTTTTCATTCTGTAATAAAGGAAGACAGCGCCTTTCCTATTGAGTCAGGTCGTTTTACATTGCTGTATTTGTTCTTTTTATAAACTTTATCTTACTTGACAGGGAGACGAAATATTACTCATCAGTCTAAGAGCAGGAAATTAACTCAAACTCATCTTCATTTGTAGATCAAACCTGTCGACATGATATGCAGCTCCTCATTTTACCGGTGGCTCAATCACCCAAAATCAAACAAAAGATTTTCTTGAAAGCCTATACCTTCTTTGGAAGGTCTGATCACGAACGCACGATAATAGAGAAATGTGCGACAACTTGAAAATTCTTCTCTTTTCGGATGAAAAATCACATTTTCCATTCCAGCGATGTTAACTATTAGTGAACCTTTGTAGGTGGTCGATCAACACAACGACGGTTTTTATTGAGATAAAAACAAGCTAAATATTCCTTATTGAATAAATGAAGCCAGTGAACGCAATTCCGTTTCCTTTTAATCTTATTCGCGCATTAAAAGCTGAATCTATTAAGTTAAAAAGATTGTTGCGTCGGCGTCCGCAACTAGTTATTTGTTTCACGATTCTTTTGTGTAATCAACCACATATACTATGCTGTGAATATAACTAAATGCAATTTACAGGGATAGGCAGGGAGGACTTACGACTGTTAATTGGAAAATACAGTTCTTCGTAAAAACGGAGCGAAAATTGTGATTGATCATGATGTGCAATGGGACAATTTAGTTTCATAATTCATAGGTCTTTAAAGACGTCATAACTGAAAATCCTTTCAGGTGAAACATTTGTCACTTACATAACATGAAAACACTCGTAAGGCTTTCAACTTCAATATCACTAACAATTTTCCAATGAAAAAAGACACAAAGATTTCTGAATAATCGTGTATTATTAAAAACATAAAAGCTGTGTGAAATGGACGTAACATCTTTAATAAATTTTATAATTCTTACGACATTATTGGTTAGTGCACACTTGACAACACAAGTTGAGGCGTTATTCATGTTTTGAATCGAATCATCGTTTCCTGTAATAATAAATCACTAAGTCTATGAAAGGTATTAGAAACTAAAGAAGAAATTTTAAGTTATTTGGAGTCCAAACCAATAACGCGCGGCAACCAATCGTGGATGGCTATTTAAAAGTCCATTCTTTTTATCGAATACTTTGTTATTGTCTAAAGCCTTCAGAACATAAGAGGAACAGGAAATTTATTATCCATTTTAAGTCTAGTAATAATTGCCAAGGGGAAGACATTTAAACGGCCGACTCGTTTTAACTTTTAGTGGTTCTTTACTAGCTATTGTTTTAGTTTTTAGATGAAGGAAGTAGTTTTATTATGTTCAGAAGGACGAAATGTAAAATCAACACCCATAAATCAGTTTATTGAACTTGTAGGCTGTATAGTGATATAGATTCTCTCTGATTCACACCACTAAACACCTCAGCCATCTCCGATGCTCTATAAGGAGAAATCAAGTCTTCAGAGCCTTTATTAGTTCAACTGAAACTTTTTGCAAGAGACCCCTTCGCGGTTAACTTTTCCGCCTGTTCTTTTTGTCTACCAACATGAAAAACGTACCTAAGTTGACACTATTGATTCTCGTTTATACATTTCTGTTTCTGGACCGATCAAGTCTCGCTCGCCCTCGGTGCCATCCTGGTTCAATGGTTTGCGTTTCTGGTCGTTCTTTTATCCAGGTACACAGTACTTTGTTTTGTATTTTATTCCAGTTGCTGTGTAATATCACAGCGGCCACGAAATCTTTAAGTACGTTGTCGTTAGTACGTCTGATCAGTTTAAAAAACAGAAGCAAAATAAGAGAAATTGAAAGGGGGAAATTTTTCAAGAAAGTCTCATTAACTTTCCATTTATCGTCCATCTTTTTCTTTTTCTCCTGGTACGTCTTCAATGGACCAAATTTAGTATATTTAGATCTTATTCGACTTTATATAATCTTCACAATTACATGTACCTTGCGCTAAGATCGTCCGAGTTTGGTTCATAAATCCTTGAAAATAATTAACATTTTAACTTTTAACTGCTACGCCGAGAACAGAAAAAATATAAGCTTTCGGTTCTGCTGGAACATTGTTGTTTAGCCTGCTTAAAATTGCTCGGTCCAGAGCTCACACTTCACACTTCTCACACTTCACACTTCTCACTACTACTCACACTACTATCCTTCCATGCATAGCGCCTTCAGTGTTTTGCGCAGGTCAGTTAACTTAAATCGGGACTTCCCTCAAAAAGACTGAAACGGTACAACAGTTTAGAGTAAACGAATCAGCAGTGACTATCTACGTCGACATACAATTAATATATGTTTAAGATGAGAATAAACAAATCTTGAATTTAAAGGGAGGTCGCGATTCCACCCAAAATGAAGCTGAAGATAGCTGGGTGCTGGACACTACTCAAAGAAAGTCCTTTTCTTCAAAACTTAGAAACTTACAAAAGATGAAAAACATCTAGATCGCAGAGGATTATAAACCTAAAGAATGGAATGGAAATAGAAGGACAAGACATTAAATCAGCATTTTTTCATTCTGCCTCAGAGCCGAAGGTTAAAGTATTGTTGAATCCTGTAAAAATGCATTTTTCCCTTAAAACTATGAAGATACTGAAAGTAAATAGCACACACTCCTGTTAAACTTACAGGCAGTGACAATTGTTGTAACTTTCTCTAGTTTCAATAAAGTCTTTATAGACAATGAAATCTACGACATTTGATTTGTTAATTTGTTTCATTTTTGTGGCTTTTAATCTGGATAGAGTTGAGAACGTTAGTATATATTTTCTAGGAGGCCTCGGTAAGACGTAACTGTATGGCAAAGCCATCATGAGTGGTCTCTTGAAACATGGCACCTTCTTACCTTCGTAGAGATAGACTGTTTATTTAATTCCTTTGTTCTACCGAATTCTACATATTGCCTTTCTGTGTATGGAGCGTCTGAATCAGATTTGAATATTATACAACTTTTTTTGGATCGCTGCCACAAGCACCGCTTTGTTTCTTCTCCCGTTTCTATTAAGGATTTTTTATATAGACAGGACTGCAAATCTTAAACATCCGCTAGGCTCGTATTTACTACCAACAAAGGAGAATAAATATAATCTGCGTAAAAAACAGTGTGCCCTCCCCAAGTTTAATACCGAACGATTTATGACATCCTATGTAAATAGACTGATTTTTGAACACAAGATAAGGTAGTTTCTACGTAGTATTTTATCATCTATTCGTTGTTTAACTACAGGTAGTTTAATTTTTAGGGTAGATTTCTATTGAGTGTATAGGTAACTAGAATGTAACAAAAGATGTAAACTGACCACCATGAAAATCCTGTTATAGCCCTGTTGCGAAACAGTTTCTCGCAAAACAAAAATGACTGGTACAGTTACGTACACTTCAAAAAACGACAGCGACATTTGCAGCTGTAGATGAGGCGACAACGGTCTCCTAAAGCAAGCGACATTGCGACACAGCTACCCCCCTTGGAAGGCCTCTCTTACTCTAGCAACTCATCAGTTGTACATTCCATTTCAAAAACAATTCCACCTTTTTCTCTTCACCTTCTTCATAAATCCAATCATTCTCACCCACCCCAATCTCCTTACACAACTTTTTTTGCGTAATATCTGTAGGACAACCTGTTTTGTTAAGAAAGAATGTCATGAATGCAATGAAACTATCCAAAATATAATGAAAGTTATATTTCACTCTGTTCATTACGGCTATGGGCCATTTTACATTAACAAGCGAAGGTTTTCTCGACAACAGTGCGTGGTTTTGATAAATTTTTATGTTTTGATTTTTATTTAATTTAATTTGTTTTATTATTATAACTTTAATTCCACTTAAGCTTAAGGTAAAAAACGGAAATCCATGTCCTGGTTATCTTCCCAGAATTTTTTTGTTTTCCTCGTCGATAAGATTCTAGAAATAAAAATATAATAATAATAAACATGAATATTTCAGGATACGCGTGAAAAAACAATCATTAGGGAGTAACACAGAATGTTTTACGTATACTCTACTTATACTCGCGTTCAGCCTTCCACTCCCGATAGTGCACAAGATGCGATTATACGCTCAATGTTTAATCAATTTGTCTTAGTTTTTTTTTTTTTTGGCAACACTGAAATATCCGGCTTCATTAGACACCCTGATCCTGAAGCTGGCGTGGGACTTCAAAGGCCTCCCACCCTCTCTCTAACTTTAAGCACTCATGATACGGCCACCAAGTTGAAACAGAAAGAAGATACTCCTGTACTCATCAATTTATCATCAAAATACAAATTAATTCACTTGAGGCGACAACGTGTCGTCACTTGGCTTTATCTTGTTGAACTTTGCTATCCTTCCCCTAAAAATATAGATATGAACGTGTTTGACAAGATTGTAAAGTTGACAACACACTGAGAATCTTCATCAATAGCAGTGGCGTCAAGGTGACGTCATTAAGATAGGAAGAGGGAACTGTTTAATTCCACCATCTTGAATCTGTAATTTGAATTAATTAATCTTATTTGTGTCACTTAAGGACCATATTAATTGAGGTAATGTTTAAATAAAAGGCAACTTGTCTTTAAAATGCTGTTCTTAAAGTCGCAGAAAAATGAACATTACAGTAAACTCACCGTTAAATGCACGTTGTCATCTGCTGTCAGGCGTCTTTTTGGAACAGGCTGATCCTCTATCTGTCATGAATTTAAGGGGGGAAAAAGAGACGGGACATAAGTGGAAAAAAGATTTAATTAACAAATGGTGAACGGCTCAGCATCTCAATTTGGGTTGTGCTTTTTTGCCTCTTTTTTTTATGTGCAAGGTTTTTAGCTTGTATGTTTTGTGAACAAAATGTGTGTCATGTGACGATACTCCAGGGAACTGTATCTTTTTTCAATTTTTATTCGCATGCATTTGTACGCATAATTTATGAGAGGATTAATGGGTAAATTCCCCTGAGACCTTCACTGGGAAACAAAGCATAGAAGCTAAAGAGGCCTTATCAGAGCGTGCACTTTACTTACATGTTATAAATGTTAATCACATTACTGCTACGTGTAGACGTGGCTAGCTAACGATTTTGATGTTGCTTTCTTACTATAAGAGATCTTTATGCTCATTACAATTAGTCCGCATAGGCCGCGGGTGGAGTGGGATAACACCCTTGGAGATCTGCATAATTCCTCATATCAGTCTCAGGCTAATCTTGACCGCTGACACGGTCTGATAGCAAGATCAGTTTTGTCCAGACATAGTTTGCCCACTTCGCTTGTATTTTGTACACCTACCCCTGTAATGATTCCCCTTCGACCAGTATAGCGGCAAACCATGGAGCCCGGCCTACATCTGTCTTTAGAACTTGCCTCCGTCATATTAAACAATAGTAGTACGAAAAATACGGCAACAAAGAAAGAAATGAAGATTCTACGGCTCATTTGGTTCTGTGAAGAGTTTAGAGGTTTAGATCTACGGGTAATAAGGCAGTTACAAGAATTCCCAAATTTATAACCCAGTGTCTTTTGTCTTTTGTTTCTGCTGATTATTAACACTTAACAAAGAGCTTGGGGTAACATCTCTGTTGTGAAGGCAATGGGTGACAGCTTCCTTCTCCGACATAAGAAAAAATTATAATTCTAATAATTGCCATAATAACAGCGGCCGCAGACGAGCTTCTTTTAGGCTAATTAAGAATACCTTTAAAACATATAACTCAACGAAAGGGCAAAACAAGTTTTTGTTGTTATTTAATTAACTGGTAAAAGGTTTTGGCATGATCAGTGTATTCTTTTATAAATTGCTCCCAATTAAATGATACATTTTGTGCTAGCACCTAAAGGAACACACCAAATTTGCACCCCTTCTTTATCATAAGAGGAAATAATTCCCTTTTTTGCCAGACAATGTGCTGTGCAACGTCGTTTTGTTACTGTAGGCTGAGCATATACCACTGCTTAAGGCATTCAACGTCATTAGAAAATAGCAGTCTTGATAAGTGCCATTTTGGATTTTAGCTATTTGTCGTGGTTAAGCTACATTTTTAAAGACCATTTTGATATGAATGTTTTGCTGTTTTTTGTGGAATTTTGCTTATGTGAATATTAAGGATGTCACCGGGAGATAAAGACCTTACGTTGTCAGAATTTCTATGTAGCATATGTCCCGTTCCTTCTTAATTTTTTTAGGACAGAAATACATTAATCTAAGGTACTAAAACCCATTAATTTTATCAAAAAGATGCTCAAAACAATCTTCGTCGATCCGCTATAGGCTTTTCTTCCATTGGTTGGTCAGTGATTTGTTGGTCTGAGTTCATGCTCCAGTCGCACTAAAAAAGCGGCTAGAAATGGCCCATCGTAAGAAGGCTACATAGAACAAACGTCACCACCCTCGTCAGCTAAACTAAAGGTCGCATGCATCACAACGAAGAACGACAAACTTAAAATTAAATGTCTTTTCATTCTACCCAAGATGCAACTCAACTGAACCAACCCCAGTCTAGTGCACTTGTGCTGCAGAAATTTATTTGTATTGACTCAAACGCCAGAAACCCTATATTTCTGTATCTTTACAAATATAACCTTGCAGCTTTGTTCTGTGAAGATAATAATAAGCCCGTATTCATCGTATATCATTGCTCTTCTTATGAATTATGACATCACTGACTTCTCTGTAGCCCAGTAAAACACCTCGTTCTGTTTCAATTACAGGACCACGTGGACTTCAAATGCAACATAATAGTCTGTACCAGTCAGGGACTGTACTATACAGCAACATAAAAACAATTTTACCGGCAATGAGTAACTTGCGAAAAAGCAATCGTTACTATACATATATGTTATAAACATTTTACGTTACACAAACCTGTCCAGGGACAAAAAGTCGCTTTCCATTTTTGCGCCGATTGCACATCATTAAACCAGGTCGACACGGTTTGGTTTCTACTTGACAGAGCCATGTTAAATGTACCAAAAGTACAACTATGACAAAAAGCCTTATACTACAGTTCATTTTTGGATAGTTAAGTCCTTGTAAATTTAAGCTTGTTAGAGTATAGCAAAGCGATAACGCTTTGACAACGCTTTTTAATGATTCGGCGAAGCTTTAATAGCAAAGATCACTAAAAATGCAGGGATCTGTGAATTGCTTTGGCGGTGCGAGTTATGACAGGTAATCAATAACTAGACCAAGTAAATGCAGAGGTGTTTCAACAAATGCTTTGAAAAATATAATAGCTTTGGGTGGATCAAAATTTCCTTTAATCAAGGACAGCAAATCAAAGAGAAAATAACGAATATTAAAGTAGCAAAGAAAACTTTTAATGCGGCAGCTTGGCCAGAGAAAAAAGTAATAAATCTCATTGTCTTAACGATGATATTGTGAAGTTTGTAGGCCCGAATTTATTGTTTGCTGTGTGCTTATTAAAAGTAAGTTAATCCTGTTTATTTATTTTCTAACACCTGCCAATTTCTGTACTTTGCCACATCATCGACAGCAGTATAGTAGTGATTTTTACTTGTTTATTATCCACTTGAGCTGAGAGCAAGAACTCAATAATGTCTTCCTCCAAGTATCTTGAAGAAGACTTGGTAATAGAACTGTTGGCCTTAGTACAATGTCTCGTATACCTGATGCTTGGAGGGAGCTTTTTAATTATGAAAAATTGAAATTGTAATCGTTTTGATGGCATAAATAGCATTTCAATTACTTTTTTAATCTACTGAAAACTAAACACAACAAGGGCTCATTTACTCAATATTTGAACGAGCAATGGAAATCTTCATGTTTGAAAGGAACCGACCAGAAAAACTTCTGATAGCAATTTCCTAGAACCTTTTTCTTTAACCTGGAGTCGGCACAAGAAATATGTGTTAAGAAATAAATCAGAAAGAAATGTTTGACTGTAAATTTACTTAACGGTTCGTAATATGCTTCATTAATAAGCTTTTCGCTTCTTCCTTGTCTATGATTTCTTTTACTGCGTTTCGATCACAATAGCATCTGTCATCGCGCAATCAATCATTATTAACAAAAATTAACGTTTTGATCCCCAACCATTATCAGGTTACTTCACCAGGTGCTTGAATAGTTTGATGACTATCGAAATTTAGAACCAAAATTTGGCATTAAAATTTATAGTTATACTTCTTTTTGATTGATCACAATCAAAATTGAAAATTTAAAACTTTGTGACCATTACAAAGCGGTGTTCTGGACCAACAATCACAAATACGTCAGTGAATATCATGACCCATGTATTCCTAAACCATTTATGGTGCATCAATCAAATTGGAGAAATTGTTAGGTTTATTGCTGGAACCTTCTAGCGGTTGCTGCCTCTTTCCTGGGACGGTAACCACATAAACATGAACGGAACTTAAGGGTGTAATTTTCATTTTTTTGGCTAAAATCACTCTATTCATCAACACATTTGTCTGATCCTATGGGGTCTTGCAACAAATATATGTTTCTTCTTAAAAAGAAAATATTTTTCTCCGAAAAGAACAAATTAATTTAAGATAGGAATTATTCTCAAAATTGTCGTTATGGCCGCGAGGGGATAGCTGTTCAAAATCTGCAGACACTGCGGGTTCAGTTGTAACCGCAGCGAATAAACTCGTCTTCAAACCTTGAGCAACGCACAAATGTACCCTGTCACAGTGTTGGATCGACAAATTAAACCACGACAAACTAAAAACGAAATAATGTAAAATAAAATATTAAGTAAAATGGCTTGTATACCGCTAGGAACATCAAGAATTATCTTGGAAAAAAACTAGCTAAGTTGGTCCAGTGACTGTAACTGACGTATTATCTCTTGGAGTGACACCAAGTAAACTCTTTTTTACTTAATTCTACCAAAGGGTTCGGTACTTTGAAAGAAAATAATAAAAATCTCTTTTTTCTCATTCTGTAATAAAGGAAGACAGCGCCTTTCCTATTGAGTCAGGTCGTTTTACATTGCTGTATTTGTTCTTTTTATAGACTTTATCTTACTTGACAGGGAGACGAAATATTACTCATCAGTCTAAGAGCAGGAAATTAACTCAAACTCATCTTCATTTGTAGATCAAACCTGTCGACATGATATGCAGCTCCTCATTTTACCGGTGGCTCAATCACCCAAAATCAAACAAAAGATTTTCTTGAAAGCCTATACCTTCTTTGGAAGGTCTGATCACGAACGCACGATAATAGAGAAATGTGCGACAACTTGAAAATTCTTCTCTTTTCGGATGAAAAATCACATTTTCCATTCCAGCGATGTTAACTATTAGTGAACCTTTGTAGGTGGTCGATCAACACAACGACGGTTTTTATTGAGATAAAAACAAGCTAAATATTCCTTATTGAATAAATGAAGCCAGTGAACGCAATTCCGTTTCCTTTTAATCTTATTCGCGCATTAAAAGCTGAGTCTATTAAGTTAAAAAGATTGTTGCGTCGGCGTCCGCAACTAGTTATTTGTTTCACGATTCTTTTGTGTAATCAACCACATATACTATGCTGTGAATATAACTAAATGCAATTTACAGGGATAGGCAGGGAGGACTTACGACTGTTAATTGGAAAATACAGTTCTTCGTAAAAACGGAGTGAAAATTGTGATTGATCATGATGTGCAATGGGACAATTTAGTTTCATAATTCATAGGTCTTTAAAGACGTCATAACTGAAAATCCTTTCAGGTGAAACATTTGTCACTTACATAACATGAAAACACTCGTAAGGCTTTCAACTTCAATATCACTAACAATTTTCCAATGAAAAAAGACACAAAGATTTCTGAATAATCGTGTATTATTAAAAACATAAAAGCTGTGTGAAATGGACGTAGCATCTTTAATAAATTTTATAATTCTTACGACATTATTGGTTAGTGCACACTTGACAACACAAGTTGAGGCGTTATTCATGTTTTGAATCGAATCATCGTTTCCTGTAATAATAAATCACTAAGTCTATGAAAGGTATTAGAAACTAAAGAAGAAATTTTAAGTTATTTGGAGTCCAAACCAATAACGCGCGGCAACCAATCGTGGATGGCTATTTAAAAGTCCATTCTTTTTATCGAATACTTTGTTATTGTCTAAAGCCTTCAGAACATAAGAGGAACAGGAAATTTATTATCCATTTTAAGTCTAGTAATAATTGCCAAGGGGAAGACATTTAAACGGCCGACTCGTTTTAACTTTTAGTGGTTCTTTACTAGCTATTGTTTTAGTTTTTAGATGAAGGAAGTAGTTTTATTATGTTCAGAAGGACGAAATGTAAAATCAACACCCATAAATCAGTTTATTGAACTTGTAGGCTGTATAGTGATATAGATTCTCTCTGATTCACACCACTAAACACCTCAGCCATCTCCGATGCTCTATAAGGAGAAATCAAGTCTTCAGAGCCTTTATTAGTTCAACTGAAACTTTTTGCAAGAGACCCCTTCGCGGTTAACTTTTCCGCCTGTTCTTTTTGTCTACCAACATGAAAAACGTACCTAAGTTGACACTATTGATTCTCGTTTATACATTTCTGTTTCTGGACCGATCAAGTCTCGCTCGCCCTCGGTGCCATCCTGGTTCAATGGTTTGCGTTTCTGGTCGTTCTTTTATCCAGGTACACAGTACTTTGTTTTGTATTTTATTCCAGTTGCTGTGTAATATCACAGCGGCCACGAAATCTTTAAGTACGTTGTTGTTAGTACGTCTGATCAGTTTAAAAAACAGAAGCAAAATAAGAGAAATTGAAAGGGGGAAATTTTTCAAGAAAGTCTCATTAACTTTCCATTTATCGTCCATCTTTTTCTTTTTCTCCTGGTACGTCTTCAATGGACCAAATTTAGTATATTTACATCTTATTCGACTTTATATAATCTTCACAATTACATGTACCTTGCGCTAAGATCGTCCGAGTTTGGTTCATAAATCCTTGAAAATAATTAACATTTTAACTTTTAACTGCTACGCCGATAACAGAAAAAATATAAGCTTTCGGTTCTGCTGGAACATTGTTGTTTAGCCTGCTTAAAATTGCTCGGTCCAGAGCTCACACTTCACACTTCTCACACTTCACACTTCTCACTACTACTCACACCACTATCCTTCCATGCATAGCGCCTTCAGTGTTTTGCGCAGGTCAGTTAACTTAAATCGGGAGAAGGGAGTTTTTCTGACTTTGCCATGTTGTCAAATCTCATTTGCTTAGTCGTCACTGATAGATGCAGCTGTATGTTAATTATATACAAATTCTACTCTTATTTGTTTAGAACTTAAATTTCCCTCCAGCGGATTCCATCCAAAATGAAGCTGAAGATAGCTGGGTGCTGGACACTACTCAAAGAAAGTCCTTTTCTTCAAAACTTAGAAACTTACAAAAGATGAAAAACATCTAGATCGCAGAGGATTATAAACCTAAAGAATGGAATGGAAATAGAAGGACAAGACATTAAATCAGCATTTTTTCATTCTGCCTCAGAGCCGAAGGTTAAAGTATTGTTGAATCCTGTAAAAATGCATTTTTCCCTTAAAACTATGAAGATACTGAAAGTAAATAGCACACACTCCTGTTAAACTTACAGGCAGTGACAATTGTTGTAACTTTCTCTAGTTTCAATAAAGTCTTTATAGACAATGAAATCTACGACATTTGATTTGTTAATTTGTTTCATTTTTGTGGCTTTTAATCTGGATAGAGTTGAGAACGTTAGTATATATTTTCTAGGAGGCATCGGTAAGACGTAACTGTATGGCAAAGCCATCATGAGTGGTCTCTTGAAACATGGCACCTTCTTACCTTCGTAGAGATAGACTGTTTATTTAATTCCTTTGTTCTACCGAATTCTACATATTGCCTTTCTGTGTATGGAGCGTCTGAATCAGATTTGAATATTATACAACTTTTTTTGGATCGCTGCCACAAGCACCGCTTTGTTTCTTCTCCCGTTTCTATTAAGGATTTTTTATATAGACAGGACTGCAAATCTTAAACATCCGCTAGGCTCGTATTTACTACCA